TATATTATATATATATATGATGAATATCGATTTATCACATGTAATACTTCTATTTTGCATTCATTTGCACCCTTAAAGTTTATGTTAGCAAAGAGTATTGAGCACTTAACTATGTGCAAAGCACTAGCCTAATGCTCCCTTAAATATTCATACAAGATAAAAGAAATCCCCAATGAATTAATCCTTATTTTAGTATGAATATGTCGACCACATGCTAGAGCTGTTACTCAACAGATGTGGACAGCAAATATGTGGTTCCTACCAGCTCATGACCCCCATCTTCATCGAAGTCCTCCTCCACCCCATCAGTCATCTCTCCTCCATCCGCTTCTTGCCCTCCTTCAGCAGGCTCCTCTGTGGAGTGGTCTGCATTCTCTGACACACACTCTTCTTGAATCAGCTCTATAGTCTCTTCCAATTGCTTCTTCTGAGCTTCTGGGGGGAGGGGGAAGAAAGCAGATGACTACTACTTGGCTTGTTTATGAATCATTTGGACAAACCATGAAAACACAGGCTATGTAGGGGATCTCAAAAAGTTGAAGTTTGGGGGTTGGAGAGATGTTTTAGTGGTTAAGAGTTCTTACAGAGGATCTGAGTTGAGTTCCCAGAACCATATGACAGTGACAGCCATCTGTAACTTCAGTCCCCTGGACCCCAATTGCTTCCTCTGGTTTCTACAAGCATTGCACACACATACATGCAAGCAAAACACTCATAAAATAAAAATAAATAAAGCATTTTTAAAAAGTTGATCTGCAAAAGGCATATAAAAGATAAGGATGTTTTCAGTGGAATTTATTCAATAACTTAATTATGTAACTATACCTGTGCATGCTTATATATAAGCAAATTCAATCTTAACTATAACTGGCAAAAGTTAATGAATCAGGGTGGCTGAGAGAGGGAGAGAGAGAGAGAGAGAGAGAGAGAGAGAGAGAGAGAGAGAGAGAGAGAGAGAGAGACTGATCTTTGTAATTGCTTCATTTCACTCTCTGAATGAAAATTTAAGCCAAAACAAAGGTCAAACTACTATATATGACAGACTTTTTAAAATTCTTGTATTTTATTTATTATTCTATGTGTGTTTTTGTATTGCCTGCTTGTATCATGGAGGTCAGAAGATGACATCAGATTCCCTGGAACTGGAGTTATGGACAGGTGTTAGCCTCCATGTGGGTGCTGGATTTTGAACCCAGGTCCCCTGCAAGAGCAGCCAGTGTTCTTAACAACTAAGCCATCTCTCCAGTCCCAGAAATTTTAGCTTAAGGAAGGAAGATGGACTAACCACAATGACGAGTTCAAGCTTTAGTAGCTTTTAAAAACCTTACTGTGAAAGAAAATTAGTATAAAATTAAACATGGTGTCTTTCGGGTTACATATTTATGATTGTAATCTTTTAAAATGTAAAGTCTGAATCATGGCAAAGTTAATTAACAGTAATGGTAGGAACCAGAATCCTGATGTCAATCAAGCTGGGGTCACAGTTAGGACTCATCCCACCTGATGGGCTTGTGATGCTGTGTGAATAGGTAATGACTAAACATTCATGCTTCTGTTTCCCATATGTAGGCAAAGTACTTTCTAAACTTTTAAGGTTTGATAGAGAAATTTTTTTAAATTTAACATAGTGGTTTGCCAATAATAAGTGCTCAGCAAGTGAAGCTATACTTTACACTAACAGAATTCCTTCTCATTGCCAGGAATGGTACATTCCATTTGAAGAAATTAATACTTGGAATTCATATTGAAAGTAGTGTAATTATTTCCCTCCTGCTTGGTTTTCACAGGAAACTGGTTGACATGCTCTGTTCTCCACCTTGACAACCTTATAAATAAGAGAGATACTGTATGGTGCTAAGATTCAAGATACAGAATAGCTGTTTCTGCTAGTTGCTAATCATATGTATGAACTATAATTTTCTTCTGTAAAAGGTGAGCATGTTGCAAAGATAATTTTGTGTGTTGGTTTTGACATGACCTCTTTTTTATTTTTAAACAGACACAAGATATTATTTTCTGGTTCTTGTGTAAACACAAATCCTTTGATGGTGTACTTCAAAAACAATAGTGTATTAATACAGTTCAAGACTAAAAAGACAAAACTTTAAGGTATTCTAATCCATACATTCACTAACATGAAAGCTTAAATGCTTGGGAGATATTTGTGTTGAACAAAAATCCTTAATTATAACAAAAATTGATTCATGTGAATTTAACAGAAATAAGATCAGCCGGCATTTTAGTGAGGTGTAGTCCGGACAGAACTTTGTCACTGACTCTGTGGGAAAGGTCGCATTTACTAAACAATGATGAGATCCACCCATGAATAAAACCACACATGAAAGCAAATGTTTATTAAGTTGCTGGTTTGTGGCAGAACAAGCAGTTTAAATCCATCAATTATCTCACTGAAATGGAAACAAAACAACTGGTTCAATTTTTATGAATAATTATCTAATTTTTTCTTTTAGAAATGAGTGATCCTGCTTAGTTTTTTCTGAACTTTGCAACATTTTTAATTCCAAAATTCTTTGTGTAAATGTAGGAAGATTATGTGTGTGTGTTTGTGTGTGTGTGTGTATTTATATTTACCAACACAGATTTCTTATCAGAGAAGTGAGTTTATATGCACTCCCCCAGGCTTCCTAAGAAAATGAGTTGCCAAGACTTTTCATGTGTATATATGTTTGTATGTATGTGTACATGTTTGCATGTGTATGTAGGAAGATTATGTGTGTGTTTGTGTGTGTGTGTGTATTTATATTTACAAACACAGATTTCTTATCAGAGAAGTGAGTTTATATTAGACTTTCTTAGAATGGATTAGAATCCCAGACACTTATAGTTTATGCCAAACATATAATTTTGTTATCTAAGCTGTATAGTAAAGCAGATGAAAATGATTTATAATGGCTACAACTTAGTGAGGCAGTGAGTTCTTATGAAGTACTATCCATGAAACATTAATGAGCGCTAGTCCTTGGAGCACACCTCAGGGTAATATTATTGATCATTTACACATGAGGAAACTGAGGCATAAAGTAAAATCTAAGGACACATGAGAACAGGTTCAAGAATTGGAATGCCACTGAAAAATTCTGCCTCTACAGCCTGGGTTGTTTCTTAATATAGCTCTAAAATACAAAAGAACTTAGTTATATGCATGGAAAATGCTTTGCATTTCTTCAATAACTAGATAATCCTGAAATTCAAGAATGAAGAAATATATTTAGCCAGTGAACATATTTTAGTTGAATAATAATTATCAAAGGAAAAGAAGTCCAAAGGTTTAGTATTTCTGTTGAAGGGAAAATACTTAAGGCTCCAAAAAGCCATGAAAAGAAATGATTTGATATTAAGTTTCAGTCCTCATATTGCAATATTTTTCTGAACATCTCATTTTACTTCAAAAGCCATATGTGATTCAGGAAACAATTTACAATTATTGAAATTTATGTTCAAAGCATTGTTATTAAATTATATTTTCTTCACAGCTATCATTAACATGACTCAGAAAATTAGTTGAGGTTGCAATTAAATTTTTTGACATGCTGGCTTAATTGCTAGATAATTACCAGCTGAATTGTACTAGGCAGATGATTGGAAAGAATGTCGATATACAAGCACTCTCATCATTTATTGAGGGAAAGCTAATACCCTGAAATCATTATTTTTATATACAAGTATGAAACTTATTTTTTAAATGTTCTATGTTGAACATGTATATAATATGAATTTAATTCAATGATTTTAATAAATACCACTGTTAAATATACAATTTATTACAGATGCTATTATTAATAACCACATAAATTTATTTCAGGAAACTTTCATATGGGAATTGTTTTAGTAAAATATCAGTTACAAAATTGAAGTTTTGAAAGGATAGCCCCAAAGTTTTCTTTTTTTACGTGTATGAGTATATTGCCTGCATGTATATAAGTGCACCCATGTCATGCAATGCCCAAGGAAGTCAAAAAAAGACATTGAATCCCCTGGAATTGGTGTTACAGATGGTTGTCAGCCACCATGTGGGTGCCAGTCCTCTGTAAGAGCAGTCAGTGCTCTTAACCACTGAGCAGTCTTGCCAGCTCCAAACTCAAATTTCTTCATACGATGAAGTCTTTTGATGTGATAAAAATTTAATATAAATCATTTTTTAAAATAGCAACTTATTTTGTTAATTTAAATAATATTGAGGGAGATATTTCTCCCATTTAATATATTTTATGAAGACATTTTGTAGTTTCAAAGAATGAGGTTGGACACAGTCTCTGTGGCATGTGGACCTCAGTCTGTTTCACTCCTGTATTGGGATTTCTGTTTCAATAATGTTAATCCATTTGCCGTAGGAAGATGAATTACATGGCAACAACCAAGGAGTGATGTTGCTTAGGGGATGAAATGTCTTATTTGAATTGTGGCAATAGGTGAACCACTAGTAAAATTATGAAGTTATTGAACAATACTCTTGAAATGAGGTATATGTGAAATATAGCTCAGCAAGGGTATTAAAATGCTGTGAGCATGGGAGAGGGGATCAACACCAGATATGGCCAGTGGCTTTGGGGAAATCAGAAAGAAGGTATGGGGTACAAATCCCAAAGGTAAGATTGGGAATCACTGGCTATAGGAGGAACAGGAGACAATGCTGAGGTTTTCAAACGAATTGGTAAGATTTACGGAGTAGTGATGGATGCAGAGAAGAGAAAGAGTTCAAGGCTGGAGTAATATAATGGAGTTATTAGCAAAATAGCATTCATGTCCTGTGCTAAACTCTAGATAGACCTCCTTGCTGACCATAAGCTCAGACCTCATCTTAGACTATTAACTTTGAAGTTGTGTAATTAACTTCTTTCTCTGCCTTTTTGAGATGTATATCTTTTGCCACCCAGGAATGGTTGTCCAGATCTTGGAGCCAGCCCTCTGAGAGGTCATCATCAGGAAGGATAACCCCTGTCTCTCAGTCTGTGGAGGAAAGGATCCTCTTTGCTAAAATTATCAAACAATTTGCCTAAACACATTGAGGAGGACCTGCCAATACCTTACAGTATAGCTCAACTAAGTAATCTGACACTCACATATCTTCATAGGCTTGTCCCTTGATTAGAGTTGAGTTCTCTGTTTAGCTACTGCAATCTTGTCTTGATGAAAGTCTTCCTAATGTTCAGTACAATTTTGCTTTTTCAGGTATCTGGGGCACAGGTGGAATATTCCAGCCAGAAAGGCATTGGTAAGTTTTTATCTAATTTCTTAAAGACAAAAACATCCATTTTACCTTTCTTAAAGTTAGCTTCTTTAAAAACATCTAATTTTTATAGTCAGATATTTCTGTAAGTCCTGTTATGAAAAGCAGTAGTCTGCTCCAACGTGCTAACCATTTCTAGCTCTTTAAACGTTTTCTACTCACTTTGTTGTCTCTTTTAAAAATATGT